ATCTCATCTCATCTCATCTCACTCATCTCATCTCATCTCATCTCATCTCATCTCATCTCATCTCATCTCATCTCATTTGTATGGCCGCCCATCTCACAAATGTGACTATGTTGATCAATTTTTTTTAAAAAAGGCTGAATAAATAAAAATCTAATAATAATAGCAACAACAACAACAACAACAACAATCCTTTAGGTAAGGCTCTATTAAAAATCATGTTGTTTATAAAGCCTTACAGAAAACAGACCCAACCTAAGAGAGGGCATGTGCAACAACTGAGTGATACAAAATATAACTTAGAGTAGAAACACTAGAAAGGCTCAACTGTCATTGTTTGGAGGAATCTCTGTGATAAGAATGAATGTATTGCCTAGAATGATGTTTTGTTTCAAACAGTACCAGCTTTGAAAAATGATGCACCATTTAAACAATGGCAAAGGTAAGAAGCCACGAGTTAAGTATAATGCAAAGGATAGAGGGGGACTAGGTTTCCCTGACTTTAAGTTGTATTTCGCAGCCTGCTGTTTAATTTGGATGAAAGAGAGGTTGTTGCTGAGAAATAGAAGAATGCTATTTGTATAAAAATAACTGGAAGAACAAAAGTTAAGGTTTGGTTGGCATGGATTCTTATGGTAAGATAAAGTTAATGTGGATTTTAAAAATCATTATGTGAGAAGTGCCATACTAAGAACATGAAACAAATACAAACCCAGATCATTTTCAGGATGTGCCCAAAAATAATACCTTTATTGGTTTCAGCACAGGAAGCATTTTACAGAAGAGAAACAGGCAGAGAGAAATGACCAACATATCAAGATGTATTAACACAGGAAGATGGACAACTTGGGATGAAGTCAAGAGAACAACTGACTGCAGAGGGATACAGTTTTCAGTGGTTTTCATATGCACAACTAAGAGAAAGATTTAATAGAAACAAGAGAGTAATTGGAATTGAAAAACATAAACCAGAATTTGAAAATGAACTATGTACAAACGATGAACATATAATTGCAAAAATGTATAAACTTTTGTTAAGATTTGAAACTGAAGTTAAGGATTGTATAATAAAATGGGCTACCAATTTTGGCTATAATATACAGATGGATACATGGGAAAGAATGTGGGTAAATGAGATAAAACTGACATTATGTTATAATCTAAGAGAAAATGTTTATAAAATGATGTACCGTTGGTACATCAAAACTGTATAAAGGTACCTCAAGTCCATGTTGGAAATGTGAAAAGCACGAAGAGGTATTTTACTATGCATGGTGGACTTGTGAAACAGCCAAGAAATTTTGGATACAAACACATACAATGATACAAAGAATTTCAAAGGTTAACATTGCAAAGAAACCAGAACTTTTTTATTGGGACTTATGTATAGTGAACTAGGAAACTCATGGAAGATTAATTATGTATACAGAATGGGAGCAAGTTTATTATATGCACAACAATGGAGGAATACTGAGATTCCCACAGTGGAAGGCTGGATTGTAAAAATATCAGAATTGGCAGAAATGGCAAAACTGACCTGTTTGGTCAGGGAGAAAACAACATGTGCCTTTTTAAAGAACTGAAAATCTTTTATGGACTTTTTGCTAAAAGAAGAAAAAAGTGAAATGATGCATTAAGGATTTAAGGATTAAAAATATGAGAATTAAATAAGGGATTGAAGGGATTTCTGGAATAGTTAAGAGGGTGTCAGGATCTGCGCAAGCTAGAAATCAAAGCTTAATTAAATGTAGACTAGTGATGCATAGCTAGAATTAAATAAGGGATTGAAGGGATTTCTGGAATAGTTAAGAGGGTGTCAGGATCTGCGCAAGCTAGAAATCAAAGCTTAATTAAATGTAGACTAGTGATGCATAGCTGACAGGGTTAAATGTTATAATTGTTAATTGGAGGCCTGCTTGCTGGTTCCTGCCATCAAAGTCAGGAGAGAGGGGGGAGGAAGCAAAGCCAGGTGTACCGTTATCTCTGCAGAGGCACCAACAAGGTCAAGCAACCGTGAGACCAGGAGAAAGACGCGAGGAATTTCAAGTGGGAAAAGAAAGTAGAAGGGGGGGTGAAAAGGGGTTAAAAGGAAGGGTTTTGCTTACCAAGGCTTAGACTCAACAACTGATAGATGCTGTGCATTTTCTCTCAATAAAGAAATCTTTAATGGAACTAATTAGACTCCAGAGGATTTACTGAACTTTGGGGATGAGTGTGCAGACTCTGACAGAGGGAGGGGAGAAAATGGGTTTGTTAATATATGTTAAAGAGAAGGTTGGAAGTCATATTTCATAACTTTAGTTTCCTTTTTTTCCTTTTCTTGTACTTTTTTCTTTTTTTCTTCTTTTCTTTTTTTTTAGATTTGACTTTTACTATATGTAAAATCCTTAATAAATATACATAAATAAAAAAAAGAAAGGCTCAACTAAGGGGTCCTTCGAGATGTCATTCCTCTGATGGAGGGAGCACCAACAAGTCTTCTTCTCCCTCTATCCCCATTCCATCAAAGGTCATCTCCAAGAGCCACCAATAAGATTTCTATCCAATACGCATATACCCCCACCTTCTCAACTTCTCAGCCCAGCCCAGACCTTTTTGCAAAGGGGCTTTTTGGAGCAAGAAGACGGTGAAGGTGAGCTAGGGCAGCAGAGCACAGGGAGGCAAGGGGCCAAGAGGGTATAGAAGGGGGGGAGATAGGCAGGTGGGAGGAGTTGAAGCACTCCTGCAGTTGTAAGTGTGCGTGGGCAGACAAGTGCCCAAATTTGTATCACGTGACCACAGGGATGTTGCAACGGCCGTAACTTTGGGCATCAGTCATAAGTCACTTTTTTCAGCACATTCATAACTTAGAACAGTTGCTGAACGAATGGTCATTAAGCAAGGACTACCTGTACTTTTGCATGGTTTTCTATTTGATGCCGATGAGATAAACAACCCTCTCATAAATGCTTTACTAGCCTCTCATCCTGTAGGAAAGGAAGCTTCAGAAGTTAAGTTGGTTTGGAAGAAACTCTTCAGTTCCTGCTGACACTTCAATTTAATATTGTCTTGTAATAGTAGCTGGAGGAGGTGGAATAATAGGTGGAGATGTTCATTACATCTCCACCAGTTTTCTCTAGGAATTTCTCTACTGAATCTTACAAATATTGGGTTATAATTTGAGTATTTTGACAGTGCCACCTCCACATCAAAAAGCTTACTTAACAATGAGTTGGAAATCTAGCACATATCTATTCTCAAATATGATTTGTGCAAAGAATAATAAACTTCCTCATCAGGCACATGTCAATGGTATTTTGCATATCTGGCCAATGATTCTGTCCTAATCTGGCATGAAAACCACTGTCTGTAATCCCATTGGTTTTTGTGTACAGAAAACTATATTACCAATTTAATTGCTAATTCCTGCCATGTCATTTTAATTTAAGATTATGTGTGTGAAAGAGAAATATACACATTCATCAAGAAAAGACAGTCCTGTACCTTTCTTTCTAGCCAGTGAGATTACATCAGCAGCACTCTTACTCATAACCTTGGTGATATAGACGGGACAGTTGATCCGACTAGCTATAGTGATAGCCCGGAATACAGCTTCTGCTTCAAGCTGAAAGACAAAAACAAAGGAAGTCAATGCATCAATGCATTTCTTTGAAGAACTTTCACATCTTTCTCTCCACCTCTACTAATAAGCCCTTTTCACCACTACCAACACTTCTATCTACAATGTTTGACTTTTTTACATTTTAATTATCTTCTTTGTAGTTACTCCAAACTAAATAAAGTATTGCTCAAGACAGTATCTCACAGTGTGGCTCAGAGTATTTCTAGATTGACAGATCCCATCACTACTAAACCATGTGAGATTTTATTTAGATTTTTTTATCCCGCCTTTATTATTTTTTATAAATAACTCAAGGCAGCGAACAAACTGTAATACTTCCTCCTCCTATTTTCCCCACAACCACCACCCTGTGAGGCGAGTTGGGCTGAGAGAGAGGGACTGGCCCAAAGTCACCCAGCCGGCTTTCCTGCCTAAGGCGAGACTGGAAATCAGAGTTTCCTGGTTTCTAGCCTGGGGCCTTTTTTCCTTCTTTCTTTCTTTTTCTTTTTTATTAGGAAAAGGAGAGAAGTTGTGTGGGAGGCCACCAGTTTAGAAACAGAAAACAGCTGCATCTGGACCACCCTTATCACAAAATTCTGTCTCTCCGACAGGATGATCATATAATAACAGCTGTAGCTAGAAGCAGTGAAGCACATCCCTTGTGATCTGAACTGAACTGAGCCGGGTCCTCTTCATTCCCAAGCAAAACACTTTGGTTTATATATCATTTGACATACTAAGATAAGCAGGAATTGAGCTTAAAATTCTCCACAAAATGCCACAGCAGGGGAAAATCTACCTCCCCCTCATAGGAACAGGCCATGTGGTGCTCTCCAGTCACGGGGCTTTGAGAGAAGGATGTTGACTATTGCAGGTGACTGCCCGCTCTTGTAAGGTAAGCGAGTAACTGTGTTTAAAGAGGCTGCCTTGGGAGGAATGTGGATTTCATGTTGCAGTGAGTATTCCTCCAGCTTCCTTTACCTTTCTAGTTTTGGGAACTGATCCTTCCTTCCTTCCTTCCTAAAGCTTTTTACAGTCTTTGCCTTACCTTCCTTTTCCCATCTGATGTCACTTATTCCTAATCATTCCTAAAGAAGTTACATTCAGATTATCCGGCTGTTTCTAAAGTTTATCTTGCAACTTGTTAAAAATGAATTGTATAAACAGTGACACTTTCTTTCTTCCCACTCCTGTTTTGGTCCACAACACTGAATCAATTTTTCAGTTGCATCCTGTTAGTACATGTGCCTGATACTAATATTAGATATTAATATCAATAATATCACCATCAGCCATTTTGTTGTCTCAATTTGCTTTGTTTTGTGCTTAATTTGTGTGCTGCTGTTATAAAAATGTGAGAGTTTCAGTGTACTCGTGCAATAAAAGCCTATGCGTCGGTATGTACAATACAGTACTTGAAATCCTGGCTGCTGGGCACCTGCTTCCTGTTCTGGGTCTGCTGATGGGGCGGGAGGGAAGAGACCAGAGGGCACAGATGCGCACGCTGCCTTTGGCCCCTGGCACAAAACGCTGCCAACCTCCCCTGCCAGCCAGTTGATCAGCGCAATCATCTCCCATTGGCAGATGGATCTCTGGTTCCCACTGCCAGCCTGGCCCAGAGCAAGAGAGCGCTGATTTGGGGGGCTGGCACGTTGGCAAAACAGATGGAGGCAACCAGAGCGCCACCCTTTCCCG